TGCAGGACCATGCTTTGCTTTGGCAAGACCTGGGGCGGATGATTCCAGAGCCTGTGATCTTACTCATTGTAATGGGAGGGTCACCCCGAGCACCCTAGTTTGGCATACAAGGAAACTTCTCAGACGGCCTTTCATTCACCCCATCAGGGAAGCCTTGCTTACAGGGCGCCTATCAGTTCTTTTAGGGCATTATTCGTTCTCTCCGCTTGGTCTGTGGGTTAGCGTTTGGTTATAGGGCAGTTGGCAGTGCCTTCGTAGTTCATTTTTGGCTGCCTCTTTGCACACACTGTAACTCAGAGGATCCTTGGTTGCATAGTGATTGCCCTTTGGACTGCTAACTGCAAGGTCAGCAGTTTGAAACCACCAGCCATATCTGTAACTCTTTACAGGCGGAAGATGAGACTTTCTACTCACGTAGAGTTACAGTCTCAGAAACCCTCAAGTGCAGTTCTACCCAGTCCCACAGGGTCCCTGAGAGTCAGAATCAACTGGACGGCAGGGAGTAACCTTTAATCGGTATGTTGTGGTCACGATTGGTCCTTTGGGGGTATCTGTAACACTCAGGTTTGTCACCTCATAGGCGGTTGGTTACACATTGAATGACTAATTGCAAAGTCCATAGATGAAGCTGTGTCTGCTTCCATAAAGATCTAAGTATTAGAAGCCCAAGGGGCAGTTCTGCTCTGTCCTATAGGCTCACTATGCGTTAGAGTCGACTCAGTGTCAGTGTAGTGGCCTGGTCAGCTCATTTACATGGGAATGGCTGGATTACACCTGTCACTGTGTCTGCCTGCCAGTCTGTTACTGGTTGTGTGCCCTTATGTATTTGTCCAGGATCTTGGGTGGAAGCCTTGACCTCACGGAGAAATTTTGCACCGCAGTCATCAAATCACTATACTTCACCTCTCTGCCTGCCTCTCTGGTTCTTTTCGTCATTATGGTATTTGATTTGGGGGTGGATCCAATGGGCAGCTGCCCCTTTTGAGTACACCGCTCTAACATGTGCTGTAGTCTCTCCTTCATGGAAGGAGATAGACGGCGTGCCAAATGAAGATGAGGTGAGCATCTGAGTTTTTTGGGGAAATGTCCCAGATATTCTGCTTTAGGCCTTTTCCCCACAGAATCTTGCCCATTACCATGTCCTGCCCTAGTTGCCTTTGGCCAATCTGAATAGGTAAACTCCCTACAGGTAAACTCTACAAAGGGTTTGGGGCTAGGGTAACAGGTGATTACCCTCCATGTAGTCCTTCATTTATTTCATTGGATTGCTTTGCTAGCTAGAGCCGTCTGTGTTCCAGGTGCCTTGTTGGCAGTGGGCCTTCCCATCACTAAGCAAAGAGGGGAGGCGGCGCTGGCAGTGACTGGTCTATGTTGATGGAGTCATTCTGAAATGGAGTCCTTTTGGGGACACAGAATTGTCCCCAGCACTTTGTATTGTCCCCCGCACGTTGACTCGCTCAGTCAACATGTTCATTTTCTCAAAAGCTTGCTGCTGCTCTTTGCCAGAAAGCACTGTTCTTCCTTCCTTCCTTCCTTCCTTCCTTCCTTCCTTCCTTCCTTCCTTCCTTCCTTCCTTCCTACCTTCCTTCCTTCCTTCCTTTCTTTTTTAACCAGTTCATAGAATGAGCTCACGCACTGGGCCAAGTGGGATAGAAATACTTGAGGAAAGGGCTCAGGAGCCATGCCTGTTCTCCTTCATGATACAGCAGGGAGAAGAATCCAACTTCATGTCTGCCCAAGGATGATTCTTCAGGACACACACATACCTCCATCCTCCATCCTTCTTTATCTTATTCTGACACCAACTGCGTCTCCCATGACCCTCGACTTCTCTGCTGGGTTTGATAATCCTTTTCAAAGGCAACATGAATTTCCAGACAATACTCACCATTATGCGGCTTTCTTTGGGAAGTTAACGAGTTACCAAAAAGTCAGGATCAGAAAGCATTAGGGAGACTGTTCTCTTGTCTGCAGCAGTGTGTATGTTCAGCCATGCCAGCTTGCCTGCCTGCCTCTCTTTGGTCTCTCAGCCACAGAGCCCCCTTGGTTTCTGCTCTGCTTAGACAAGTATTACACAACTCCTTTCTTGTTGCCGGTTTACTCAGTGTTCGGGTTGGGGAGCCTGCTGCTCTGCTTCACAGACTGCTGCTGCTACTGCTACGGCCTCTGACACCTCTGCTGCTTTCCCCGCCACCGCTTCTGGCTATTGTCTCTTGCTGATCATGAGATTCACTCTCCCAGCTTCGGAAACGGCTCATTTCATACTACCAGGAGAGACCAGTCCCAGGGAAAAGAAGACCTTATGTCTGGTAAAGTAGAGGGTCGGCGAAAGCAAGGAGGGTCCTCAACAAGATGGATTGACACAGTGGCAGCAACACAGTGGGCTCAGAGGTAACAACTGTGAAGGCGATGCAGGCCAGGCAGTGTTTTGTTTTGCTGCGTATCGGGTCACTGCGAGTCAGAACTGACTCACTCACGGCACCTACTACAAACACAGCACCTTGTTTGTGAGCTCTGACCCAGTCATTCTGTGGGAATGACAAACACTGTGGGTAGAAGAGCCAAATCAAGTAATTTCACTTCCCAGTCCCCTTGGGGATCCCAAGGCTGCCTTCCTTTTGGCTTTCTAGGATGGGACAAGCTTGTATCTTACGAGGGCTTCAGGCAGCACCCAGGTCTTACCCGACCAGATGATCGACCCCTCGGGGAATTTTACTGATATTCCTGGCCTCTACACCCTTTGGGGTGATTGAAGTGTCTAGACAATCTTGTAAGAGAGAAACATCTTTTTTTTTTTTTGAGAGAGAGAGAGAGAAACATCGTTAGCAGGTACCATGATGTCATCCGTGCAATGAAACTGATGGAGTGTAGCAGGGAAAGAACGCTGTGTCAGGTCCCTAGTCACCACCCCAGGTTGGTACTAAAGCCGCCTAACAGGGGCACTGTTCAGGACTGTTTTCGTGCCTGGGCCTGCAGGCAGTATTCTCCCACAGAGGGAGTCAAGGCCAGTCCCAAGTGCACATCCACCTCTAGAAGGCCACTTGGGGCTGGGGGATTGGGGGGAGGAAGCTTGAAACTGCTCAGTTTCCAAAGATAAGGTTGTACTCAGCCACCACATTAAACCAGAGCCGGTACTGTGGCTTGTTTATCGTTGACCAAAGTATTGTGACCTCTGCTTGGAGCTTCCAGTCCCCCTGCAGGGCTGGGACCTATGGGTGTCCTTTGTCCCCACTTCTAATCCCTAGGAACCTGCAGGGTTCTACTGGACGCACTTCCTCAGGTTAGGGGAGGGCAGTAGGACCCAGAGGGAAATGTTGTTGCTCAGCTTTCAGATTCTTCCAAAGGCTTCCTCATACTTTACCCACATCTTCTCATGGGCTACCTTTAGGTGCCTCTGGGCCGCCATCCAGCAGGGGTCCACAGCTCACACCCCCATTCTCTAGCTCTCTCCGGTTTGCCTCAGTTGGCCGCTTTGAGCTGTGAGCCACATGTAGGTGCTGCCGGAGGATGGGGACCACCAAGACGTCCCTGCATTCATTTGTGTAGCAAAGAGTGCATTGTCTGGCTCCATCCTGGTTAAGCCCCCTTTGACTGATGCCAGGGACCACAGGTGCCAAGCTGGTGCTGCTCTGCACCCAGGGAAGAAGTGGGAGGAGCAGAGAAAGGAGAGCCAAGGGCTCTGGCCAGTGGCTGCTGAAACACACACACATACACACACACACCCCCTTCCAGCACTCCTCCCAGTTCTCTCTGCTCACTCTCCTGCCCTCAGAGCCTCAGCAGGACCTGGAAGTGGGGAAAGGGGGAAGGGGGGGCTGGAACAAAGCAGAGGGCCTCAGGTGGGTGCCCTCCCCAGCCCACCTCTTCCACCTTCTTTTTTTTTTCTTTTTGCAACCCCACCGGGGAAATTCAGTAGCTGTTTACCCTGCCCAGAGAGGTCCCTTGTTGTCAATGTCAGCTTGCCACAGGCCAGGATGGCAGCCCTTTCTCACCAGGCTCCTCCTGATTTGCTTCCAAGCAACCGTGCTGTGCTGCTGGAAGGTCGGGCACCCCCCGACTAGTGTGGCAATCTTGAACACCTGGCCAGAACCCCCTGCATGGAACTTGCTGACCAAGCTGGGATTAACCCCTCTGATGCTTAAGGCGCATCATTTTATTTGGCTGACTCACCTTTGGGGCTTATTTTGGTATGGAAGAATAACTCTAAGTGGGCCTCTGAATATGGAAGGGGCCAAGAGACTGGAGAAGGAGGTTGGTCTCCCCAGGTTTACAGTGTACAGTATGCTGTTGTGAGGGGCCATCAAGTCGGTTCCAACTCATAGCCGTATAAGAGCTCATAAGTAAGTATATGAGCTCATTAAGTATGAGTTCATTAAGATGCTTCCTTACAAGTCACAGCTCAGGGCATGACAGGGTAGACTCGAGTCTCTGTGCCCCCAAAGGAGTAGGGGCTTTCATGTCTCTGGTGAACAAAGGTTAGGATGCTCAAGACCACCCTAGCAGGTGGGTGGACCAACAGAATTGACACCTTGCATATGGACTTCAGCCTCTTAAACGGAGAGATTAAGTGTCTGTTGGTAAAACGCATGCACTTGTGATATTTCTTTTATAGCTATGTGCACCTAGGTCTTAGTTGTCTAGTATTGCTCTAACAGATAGGGCTGAGGAGCCCTGCCCGTGTAGTAGGGTATGACTTGGGTTGCTAAATAGCTGCCAGGTCAGCAGTTCAAACCTGCCATTCACGCCGAGGGGGCGGGAGGAGGAGGAGGCGGAGGCTGGCTGCTTCTGTAAAGATTTACAGCCCATGAGGCAGAGTCAACGGGAAAGCAGTGAGTGTGGGCATTGCTGCCAAAAGGAAGAGGCTTGCGTGACTGTGCTCGGAATGCAGGCATCTGCTCTGGAAGTCTGGAGCCTGTTCTGCCGTGACTGTAAAAGCCTCAGGGTGCCATTGCCTTGAAGCTCGGAGGCGATTCTGCCCGGGGAAAGCTCTGAAGGCCAAGAACATCACTCCTTCTTACTCAACTTGGTCTCTTCCCATCTTCTTTTATTTCAGGTCCTAGGTGTGGCACAGAGAGAGCTAGTCCAGTCTAAGCAACTGGTTATTTAGGGTGATCTTAGCTATCACAAGCAAGAGGTCCAACGGCTCTGGCTAGCTGTGTGGATCACACGTTACTCGTCTGCCTCGGGACTGTGCAGTGGCTCTGCGTCCACTCCATCCGTCTTACAAAAGTGGCTTCTTCGATTCAGAGAGGACATTCACTCCCCTTGCAGACGCTCTAGCCACGAAATGGTGAGTTCATAGAACACTGGCTCATGCTAGCATAAGGAGGTGAATTAGTCTGACTTGATGGGGGACCAGCTATATGCTCCCAGCTAAGTGGCACACAAGGCCCAGGTATAAACCCTAAAAGCTATCCTAAGTCCCTGTTCTACTATCACTGAGCCCTTCCTCTTTAGGATAATATAGAGTCTATACATGTGTGGATTTTCAAGCAAGCCTTGGGTGCCTTCCATATGTGACTCAGAGCTGACACCATGGGGGTCTTAACCTCCCCATGGTGTGCCTCAGTGCTCTGTGTTGAGTGACTGTCTCTTGACCAGGGCTCAACAATAAATAAAGCAACTCTGAACATGGAGGGTAGGCCCAGGTGCGTGAGTCATCCTATCCCATCACTGCAGACAATGGTGTTGGCTTCCCCCAGCACGGCAGCCTTTTTGGGTGTAGTTCTAAAACTACAGCTCTACCTCTAACATGGTCCAATGGGATGAAGATTAGAGAGAATGTTTGTAGGGGAAGAACCATGACTCATGCAGGCCTGCTTGCCAGCCATGGCATCCAGAGGCGGTCGAATTCCACAGGTGCAATCCTGAGTCCTAGGGATAGAACAGCAGTCCCTAAACACTCTTGGTAATTCTTGGTTCTGATTTGGGGTGGGGACATGAAGGTGGGGAGGTGTCAAAGCTATGTTGATTGAACTAAAGGCTTTTAATTCGAGGAAACTTAAACTAAGGTACAGAAGGAGCCCTGGTGCCAGAATGGGCTATGTGTTTGACCACTAACCACAACGTTGGCAGTTCTAAACCACCAGCTGCTCTGTGAGAGAAAGATGAGGCTGTCAGTCATGGAAATCCACAGGGCCAGTTCCCTATAGGGTTGCTATGAGTCAGAAATCAACTTGATGGCAGTGGTTTATTGATTTATGCATTCATTCATTTAAAGATCTAGAAGGGCAGAGCATATTCCCTTGGTTGACTGCAAAGTGTGGGTCATTAACTTAAAATATTGACATGCACCAGGGTCCTTTGTTCTAACGTTTGCATGTTTGATGAGTGGGTAGATTCGAAGCAGGGAAAGGAGGAGGACAAGAGGAGAAAGTAAGCAGGAAACGTGGTGTTGGGTGTATGTTTATGTGTGAGAGTGTAATGGCCCGAAGACAGTTCAGTAGTTAGTGGGTCATAACGCCTTCTGTGGGGCTCTGGAATGATCCAGAGGAGCTACAAAAGCAGAAACCTACACTGTATCCTGGATAATGCACTATAGTATAAATGGTTTTAAATGTCAGCAGGGGTGCTGAGTAATTTCTTTTCTGAACAGGTAGCGGTAGACCAAATAAGTTTGGGAAGCTATGTCCTAAGGGATTGAATCTTAATTGGTTCAATACTTATAAATGGGAATTCTTAGGAAATACTTTAAATATATTTAAAACTAAAGTTATTATATTTTTGTAATAAGTGATGCCATCAAGGTTCACATCTGAATATGAACTTAACAAGGAGTCTTTGTGAAGACTTGTTCCTAACTGCTCTCAGCTAGACTGTTCTTCCACCAGCCACCTGGAGATAACCGGCTTTATCAAACACTTTCTTAAGCATCTTGCTAGTATTTCTTTTTATAAACACAAGCCCATAGAATTAGAACATTTCATTTCCCCTACTTTCCTATATAAAAAGATAGCTTTGGATTTATACTTACTTTTGTCGGTTTGCAAATTACGCTGGAGATGTTCCTAAGAGTACATCGACAGCTTGTATCTAGGTTGTACAGAACTCCACAATACACTGCATTTGGTTGGTCTGTCATAGTTGTGTCAGGTTTTTCTTTATTTTTAACCTCACTACTGTGGATCTGGCGATAATTGCCAACGTTTTCCTTTCGCAAGACTCACTGTAGTGAATATAAATGTAAACATTAAAAATCCAGGTACTTCCTCTTCCTTTTTAAAAATATGCATTAGGTGGGAGGTTTACATTTCAGACTATTAACTCTGCATTCAACAGTTCAAACTACTTATCCACACCCACCTCTGTATCCTACCTCATCCCCCCTCCACTGCTATCTCTTCTTCCTCTTGTGGACTTCCACGCTTAGGGAGCAAAAAGAAGGGGGAAGATGAAACCTGTAGGGTGGATAAGGTAGGATTTTCCAGCAAAATTTTCATAGCCTTTGCTACCCTTGAGGAATGAGCAGGTATCTGGCTATAGTGGAAAACGATTTTTCAGTGCAGTTTACCCGGCCATTTTTTGCCAATGTGTGAAACTTCTTCATAAGAAGCCTTTGCAATCACCCTGTTTCATTCCGCAAAATATGTCTAGATTGCCCTTTTGCATCCTCCCAAAACAGCTACCATAACATTTCAGCCGACATCTCTGCCTTGAACTTAACTGGCCCAGCAGATCCTCTTGGAAGCCGCTGTTTCGATGGGAACTTTTATGACGGCATCCTTCAGGGGCCTTTATTTTACAAGGAATGCACTAAGACACATGTTTTACTGAGAGAACTTGTCAAGAGCCATCCACTGGTCACAGAGCCATGCTTTGTTTGAAATAAACCTGTGCATGTATGCACTGGAACTCAAGGTACAGAGCTTTTGACACCCTCAGATACCAAAATCACCCCCAAAAGCTGCTCTGCCTCACTGTTAACAGCCAGAGCCTCAAGGTTTGCAAACTTGCAACTGCAGTTCACTGCGTCTATGTGTGTGGTACTTTGTTCTACCATTAAAGTATACTTCTCCAATGACAACATTGCTGTGCACATTTTCCCCAGTTGCTTCATCTTTCTCTGACTACTTAGGGCTTCTTTATTACTTTATTACTTTATAGCTTTATAGCTCAAACATGCAGTCAAGATGTATTGATAATTATTGGTGGTTGGAAGCAAAGAGGAAGGAACGGTTGTTGGAAAATATAACTTTGGTAATAGAAACAAAGCCGAGATCACATGATAGAGTTTTGTGAGGTGAATGACGTCTTCATTGTAAATACTTTTTTTCAACAACACAAAAGGCAACTGTCAATGTGGACTTCTCCAGATGGTCTACGGAAATCAAACAATACATCTGTGTGAAGAGATGATGGAGACATTCTAAAATGAGGAACAGACTATCAGTTGCTCCTAAGTAAGTTCAAACGGAAGCTGAAGAAAATTAAAATAAGTCCATGGAAGCCAAAAATAGGACCTTGAGTCTGTCCCACCTGAATGTCAAGAACATCTCCAAAACAGACTGGACTCAGTGAACATTAAAGAGCCGTGTGAGCAGAACATCATACATGAAGAGAGCAAAAAGCCATTGAAAGGAGAAGAAAGAAAATATCAAAGTGGATGTCTGAAGACCCTCAGAAACTTGCTCTTCGTTGAAGAGTAGCTAAGGTACATAGAAGAAAGGATGAAGTCAAAGAGCTCAACTGAAAATTTTCAAAGAATAGCTTGAGAAGGCAAAGTAAAAAAATAATGAAATGTGCAAAGACCTTGAGTTAGAAAACCAAAAAAAGAATAATGCAGCGTTTTGGTTTTTTTCTAATCATTTTATTGGGGGCTCTTGCAGCTCTTATCACAATCCACACATCCATCCATTGTGTCAAGCACATTTGTACATATGTTGCCATCATTCTCAAAACATTTTTTTTCTACTTGAGCCTTTGGTATCAGCCCATTTCCCCCTCCCTCCCTCCCTCATGAGCCCTTGATAATTTATAAATTATTATTATTTTTTACTGACCGATGTCTCCCTTCACCCACTTTTCTGTTGTCCGTCCCCCTGGGAGGGGGTTATATGTAGATCATTGTGATGGAGTCTCCCTTTCTAAACCCCCTCCCCCCCAACCCTTACCCTTACCCTCCTGGTATTACTCCTCTCTTTATTGGTCCTGAGGGGTTTATATGTCCTGAACCCACTGTGTTTTGAGTTCTTATCTGTACCAGTGTACATACTCTGGTCTAGCCAGATTTGTAAGGTAGAATTGGGGTCATGACAGTGGGTGTGGCGAGCATTAAAGAACTAGAGGAAATTTCTATGTTTCATCAGTGCTATACTGCATCCTGACTGGCTCATTTCCTCCCCGAGACCCTTCTGTAAGGGGATCTCCAATTGCCTACAGATGGGCTTTGGGTCTCCATTCCACACTGCCCCTCATTTACAATGATATGATTTTTTGTTCTGGGTCCTTGATGCCTGATACCTACCTGATCCCATCAATACCTCATGATCACACAGGCTGGTGTGCTTCTTCCATGTGGGCTTTATTGCATCTCAGCTAGATGGCCGCTTGTTTATCTTCAAGCTTTTAAGACCCCAGACACTATCCCTTTGATAGCCGGGCACCATCAGCTTTCTTCACCACATTAGTTTATGTACCCATTTTGTCTTCAACGGTCCTATAGGGAAGGTGAGCATCACAGAATGCCGGGTTATTAGAACAAAGTATTCTTGCATTGAGGAAGTACTTGAGTAGAGGTCCAATGTCCGCCTGCTACCTTAATACTTAACATATAAATATATGTACATAGGTCTATTTCCCTATCGTTATATATAAATATATTTACGTATGTACATGCCTGTATTTAGAGCTCTATAAATGTCCTTTGCCTCCTAGTTCTTTCCTCTGTTTCCTTTTACTTTTCCTCTTGTCCCACTATCATGTTCGACCTTCATTCGGGTTTCAGTAATTCCTCTCAGCTACATTGCTCTTGATCAAGCCCCACCAGGCATCCTATGCCCTCCTTGCCATCAATTTTAGGTCACGTGTTGTTCCCTTGTCCCTGGGTTGATTGACACCCCCTTGCTTTCCCCTGTCTCCCCCTTTCCTGTGTACTGGTCCCGTTGTTTTCTCCTTCGGATTGTTTATCCCACCTGTCTTATCTAGGTAAACATGCAGAGACAATAATAAGCACAAAACATGACAGAACAAAACAAAACAACAACAACCCCAAAACAAACCAACAACAAAAGAAAAGAAAAGCCTATAAATAGTTCCAAGTCTGTTTGTTGACCTTTAGGAGTGTTTTCTAGTTGAATCTGATGGGGTGCCATGCTCTGGCCCCAAGTCTATTTTTTGGTATTCCCCAGGGACTTCATTGCTTTGTTTCCCCCGGCTGCTCTATTGCACACCCTTAGGATTTTGTGCCCGGGTGGTAGGCTCAGATCAGGCAGTTCCCTCACTGTGTCTCCAATGTTGTCCCCCATGGCACTATAGGTCAGTGAGGGACGTCATGGCTCCTGATGGAGTCGGCCTTATGGTCCTCTCTGTGCGTTGGCTGCTCTGAGCAGGACTATCGTCCTTGGGGAGTGGTGGGCCAGGATGTGTTCTACTCTCTTTCCTTCCTCCTTTGTTTGTTCCTGTGTGCTCTGACCAGCAGCGCCCCTCTCCCTGAGCTGTACCTTCAGTGCTTTCCTCTGAAGCGCATTATTGGGGTGGGGGGTGGGGGTGGGGCGGCAGTGTCCACATAGTTGGGATTGGGGCCAGCCCCGCAGACCTCTCTATTGGTTCCCTGCTTCATGCCACTGTGTTTTATTTTTTTCGCCTGATGCTTCCACAGGAATTGAGTACATGAAGCAAAATTAAACTCATGACAACTTGAATATTTTGTTTATCGTGATGTTTCTTATTGTTCTGGTTGTGAGGATTTTTTTTCTGTATATTGAGGTGTGATTCATTCTGAGGACAGTAGTCTTTGATCTACATCTGTAGATGTTTCAAGTATGCTATGCTTTCAGCAAGCAAGAGTGTATTACAGCATATATTGAAGGGTGTTAATGAGTGTTCCTCTTATCCCGATACCCTATTCTTTTCATATAGTGAAGTCTTTTTGGATTATTTGCTTGGCGTATAGATTAAATAAATATGGTGAAAATATGCAGCACTTATGCACACTTTTCCTGATTTTCAACCATGCAGTATCCCCATCTGCTCAATCAGCTGCCCGTTGGTCTGTGTTTTCAGTGAGCACAGAAGTGTTCAGCAATTCCCGTTTGTCATAGTGTTATCTATAAGTTTTTGGGTTTTTTTTATGATTCCCACAGTCAAATACTTTGACACCATTAATAAAACACGGGTAAAGATCTCTCTGATCTCTGATTTTCCCCCAAATCCATCTGATATAAGCATAATATCCCTTGTTACATGCCTTCTGAATTCAGCTCGGATTTCTGGAAGTTACATACCAAATCAGTATACTGCTGAATTTGATTATGAATTTTCCTGAGCACCATCCTACTGGCATGTTATTATGTCTTCCTTCTTTGGGATCTTTGGACTGGGCACAAATACAGATTTCTTCTATCTGATTGGCCAAGCAAGCTGCCTTTTAAATTCCCATCTTTCATTCCAAAATCCATGCCATATCTGAGTCTGGTTCTGAAGCTTGTTTTATCTATTCAGTCGGTGGTTAAAACAGATGGTCTCTCATTCTTTCATAGTTATTCTTTTACTTCCTTTCATTTCATGCTTCATGTTTTGTTGTATGTTTAGTTGGGTCTTATGAAAGGAGGTGAATTTGATTTTTCCACAAAGAAATCTTAATGTAAGTGCAGAAATAGGTCTTTCATTAATAGAAGATTTCTATTCTTTCTGCTGTTCCGATAGGTTGTTAGATACCATCAAGTAGGTTGCGACTTTATGCACAATAGAACAAAACATAGTCCAGTGGTGCACCATCCTCCCAGTTGTTCCTATGCTTGAGCCCATTGTTGCAGCCAATGCCAATCCATCTCCTTAAAGGCCTTATTTTTCACTACCCCTCTGAGGGGAATAAAACTGGATTGGCCATAGTCAATTGTGGTGAGAGAAATTTATTGTGCTAGAAATATTGTCAAATCTGTGACATAAGACACTTGACAGTCAGGAGGTAAATGTAATCAGTGAAGGGCTGTTGCTGATGGCCAAAGTGTACAATAGAACACAGACCTTGTGTGGCCTTCCTATGAACTCTCAGGTCCTCAGGACTATCAGCCTTATCTACCCTTTTGGATATAGTGGGGAAGCTGGTACCTTGTTGATCCACAATATGTATGTTGTTTTAGGATTCAGTGGTCTTTGAGGACGTAGCTGTGGAATTTACTGAGGAGGAGTGGGCCTTGTTGAATATGTCTCAGAGGAACCTCTACAGAGATGTGATGATGGAAACCGTTAGTAACCTAGATTCAGGTAAGGACGACTTCGCTTTCCCTATGTCCTTAATGAGTTACTCACTGACCATCGTATTGGAATTGGGTTGAGACATTGGAATGCATTGGCAAACACTCACCCAGAAGAGTGATAATATATGTATTAAATTAGGTATTTTTCTTGTTAAAAGCATTGGCTTGGATCACTTTATGACAAGGAGAAGTGTGTCATTTAGGACTTCGTTAGCATTTTATCGTGTATTCAATTTTAAAAAATGGTTTTATTAGCATATGCTTCACAAATTAAACATTTTAGTCATTAGATCATATTAAGATTTAAATGTTTGATGTGATTATTTTGCCAAAAATAGTTCACACTCGTCCATCTATACAGACCTTAGAGACCAAAGCGTTAGATCAGCTTCAAAGAAATGTGGTTGTCTTATCTTCTCTTACGGTCTTTTTATTTGAGCGCTACTTCAGCCACACTAATTTTTCTCTCTGAGAAGCAATGAAAAGTTCTAGGGAGAGTGGAGATAGAACTTCCCCAGAGCTGTACTATCAGAAGAGGGCAAGAATACTTTGAAGGACCAGCCCAGGTGGAATGAAATTACTGTTGAAGAAACTTTTGAAATAATCTTTTTCATTTGGGGGAGGTGGTACTTGTCCACCTACCTAAGCTGACTTTCATGATTTTTTATCAGTCTTATGTTTTGTAGGTCTGTAGGAAAAGACCTACCCCATTTCCACTTTTGATGCTACCTTTATACACATACATTATTTGCACTACCTGTTTATTTTGTTTTTCTAATTATACTCAACTTACGTCACTACAGAGCCCGATTAGGAGGTTGGTCACTAGGAGAAAGAAGTGACAGTCTGCTTCTGTTAAATATTTTCAGCCGTAGAAACCATGTGGGGACAGTGTGTGTTACCCTGTCCTACAGGACTGGTATGAGTTGAAATCAAATTGGTGGCTGGGTTTAGTTTGCCTGATGTGAAACATAATGCCAGTTGGCAGGAAAATAGTTCTTAGTAAATTGCTCACATTTTTTACCATTTTCAAAGTCCTGTAACAGCCAGGTACCTCAAGGTTATTCTTCCCATTTGCCCAATTCCTCATAAAATGTCCTTACTGTTTTGTTTCAACTTGTGAAACTCCAGTTAAAATTATTGGGTCAGTTTTTAAACAGGATAATAGTGGACAAACGTTTTCCATGAAGAAAGATTCCTGGCCCACCATGTTAGACATGTATGCATTTCATGGCATTGAACATCAGCGCCTTGACCCCGGAAGCCATGGAAGGTATGTATTTATATGACAGTGAGCAATGCCTCAGGACACTTTTAAGGTTATCATGATGTTTGTGTGTGCAAAAGTAGCTCTGAAGTGCATATTCACATAATTTCCACAGCCAAGTATTTCCATAAGTGCGAATCAGATATTGAGTACAAGTAAGTGTTGCTTAGTATCCGAAATACGTTTTGTGATATAGGATGCAATATAATGTGAATATTGTGGGATACCGTTCCACACAGGAGAAAGACAGCAGGACAATCACCATGCAGGCCCTGGTTTGGTACCACCTATGACCTACTCCCATGCAAGCCGCCAACCACATTCATGCCACTGGCTGCCTTCCCTGCCTTCTGCACTCCAGTGAACCTACTTTTCTTCCTCCTTCAGGCTGCCTTTCCTATTCTACCCCACTACTATTATAGTGCAGACCATTTGATGGTCACCACAATGGAGGAGCTATAGGCCAGGGTATAACACAGAGGGTGCCATAGCCAAATGCTCCTCAGCGATTACAGCACTGTCCGTGCAATACCTTTCTGAAGCTAGTGAATTGGTATAGGCAGTTATAGATGAGTGCTGGGACCTTCTTCCCTCTACTGCGCCTGGGATGGGGTAGATGTGGACCGGGAGAGGCCAGTGAGAGTCGATAGGATATACATTATTTGCCAACGTACATTTCCTACATCCCAGTCTCCAGTCAGTATTTCTGAACTGTGATATAACCTTGTGGGACTACACACGTATTTGAAGTCTAATATTGTTCAAGTGAGTATTATCCGGTGCATACATGAAACACATGTGTGTGCCTAATTATTAGATACGCCATTACTTTAAAACACTGTAACTTTAATGGTAACACTGACTGCAAGATGATTCAACCTCCGCAACATAAACACATCGGGGCAGAGTACTCCCATTGCCTGTGTGTTTTAATTGTGAGATGGTAACACATTTAATTTTAACAATGTACTTCTTATTTTTAACAGAATGTATACAGTAGAGAACCTCTGTGAAACTAAAGATGATAAAGAAAACAAACTTGAAGAAAGTAATCAAGCTGAAAAAGCTTTCAACTGGATCGGGAATCTTACCAGCCTCCAAGCAGTGCCCACTGGAGTAAATCCTTTCGAACACCTAGAGTATGAAAAACCTTTTGTGGATCATTCATTGTTTGATCATCACATCATATCTCATACTGGGTGCACACCTTATTATAAGGAATGTGGAGAAGACTGTGGTTGTCCTTCCTACCTAAAACTCTGCATGAGAGAGAACGTTTGTAAATGTAAAGATTATGGGGAATCTTGTACCTGTTCCTTACCTGTCACTAAACATATAAGATCACACAGTGGAGAAAGACGTTATGAATGTAAGGAGTGTGGAAAGGCTTTTAGTTATCTCTCAAGCCTCACGAGACATATAAGAACTCACAGTGGAGAGAGACTTTATGAATGTACAAAATGTGGTAAGGCTTTTACTCGTTCCTCATCCCTTGCAGCACATATAAGATCTCACAATGGAGAGAGACCTTATGAATGTAAGGAATGCGGGAAAGCCTTTAGTTGTTCCTCCTCTGTCACTATACACATGCGAACTCACAGTGGAGAGAGGCCTTATGAATGTGAGGAATGTGGAAAAGCCTTTAGTTGTTCCTCATCTCTCATTACTCATAGAAGATCTCACAGTGGAGAGAGACCTTATGAATGTAAAGAATGTGGAAAAGCCTTCAGCCGGTCCTCCCACCTCAGGACCCATTTAAGAACTCACAGTGGAGAAAGGCCTTACGAATGTAAGGAATGTGGGAAAACCTTTAGTCGGTCCTCACACCTCACTAGCCATATAGGGACACACAGTGAAGAGAGGCCTTATGAATGCAAGGAATGCGGGAAAGCCTTTAAACAGTTTGCACAACTTACTAGACATGTAAGAGTTCACAGTACAGAGAAGCCTTTTGAATGTAAGGAATGTGGAAGAACCTTCAGTCAGTTTTCATATCTCACCGGTCATATGAGATCTCACAATGGATATCGGCCTCATGAATGCAAAGAGTGTGGGAAAACCTTTACTCGATCTGCACACCTCACGACCCACAGAAGAATGCACAGTGGAGAGAAACCCTATCAATGTAAGGAATGTGGGAAAGCCTTTTTTCGGTCTTCACACCTCACCGACCATGTAAGATCTCACAGTGGAGAGAAGCCTTACGAATGTAAGGAATGTGAGAAAGCCTTTAGTTGTTTCTCATCCTTCCGTAAACATGTGAGAACTTACCATGAAGATTGGCCTTACAGCAAGAAATGTAGGAAAGTCTTACGTCAGTTCTCACACATCACTGACCGTATAACATTTCAGGATGAATTGCCGTGCAGTGAATTGCTACCATATAGCCTTTCTAGTTATGATCTTGTAACTCCCACAAAATGACGGAGTGAGACAGTGAAAATAAGGTGCATGGATTGTAGGGTGTTAGTCAATTTTGCCATCCCACTAGATTTAAAGAAGAGTCGGTGCCAGAGTGTGGTAGGATGTCTCCACTATCATCAAGAAAATACTCCAGCAATGGAGCATGTCCTTTGGACCGATGGTCCCTCCACTAAAAAACATTAATACCACAAGAGGAACAACATGAGGCAGTAAGAAGTGATGGCAAACATGACCTAGAAACAGCAGCCAAATCAGATCTGCACAAGATTTTATGATAGGCTTTGAGAAGCAACCACAGTGGGCTTGCTAACATAGAGCACTATCAAACAGGAGACCAGTTGGTGGGGAGAAGTGTCTTTGGGTATTTATTGGTGGAGTTCAGCTTGTCTACCCACTAAGAAGACACTCAAATCCATCTCCTGGTGGGCCTTCCTCTTGGCTGTATCAATGGCATCAAGCATAGGAACAGTTATAAGGATGGCATGGCACTGGGCAATGTGTATGGTTACTGGGTCGGAACCAATCTGATGGCACCTAACAACTGCAGCCATCTTATGAGGCTTTCTAGCAGAGAAGGTACCTCTGGTACTTACTGGGGAGACTCGAGAGCTGTAATACTTGCCAATCAGTGCACAGTCTGTGGTAGAGACCAGGGACCAGCACTAGCAAGACCTAGTGGCAGAAGCTAAGAACTTTATTCTGAGTTCTTGTTATCTCCATGTTAATCCCAATCCTGAATTGTAACTTGTTACTTCCGTAATAAATCTCCTTAATCATGTGTATCGTGTGTGAATTTTGTGTGGCCTTGCAACAAATTGTTGAATCCAGCAGAGAAGTACAGTGCCATGGGAGGGAAAGATGGTGTTAGAATCTAGTTGGAGTTTCTGGTGGTACCCTGTTGATATCATATTGGAACCACTTTTAGTTATCTTCAGCAAAATTTCATGTAATTTTATGAACAAGCTGCTGCTGATATGCTGGGGGGCGGGGGAGGGGCTGCTAGCAGGGTAAGGGTGATGCAGCATAGGAGGCATGGGCAATGAAAGGATTGGGACAGTTTATGGTAGTGAAATGGAGTGGTGCGGGGAGGGGGAGATGGCCCTTTATGGGGTTACTTCTGTGATTACAGGATGGCCGTGTGCCTGTGGGACACCAGCTCCAAGGCCTCTTGCCTGGGGCTGGGCTCATTGTGTTTCCTGACCCTGAGGAGAAGAGCTAGCATGGACTCTTCAGGGAGGCAGTTTTACTCACACGTTAAAAGCAATTTGTTGAACTGCCCTTGTGTGTCTGGTTTAATGATACGCTCACTTCACCCCCTATTGAGGGATTTCCCCTCACATGCCTTCCATAACCCAAACCCCAGAAGGGTGCAGAGGCCTGAGCTGTTATGTGGGTATGGTGTGGGGCTGGAAAGGTAGTCATGTCCAGTGGAGGGTCCATGTCTGCCAGTGGGCAGCTGGGGACAGGTGACTCTTGCAGGACAGTCTTTAGAAGTGGCCAAAGTCTTCAGTAGGGCCCTGACTGGACAGGGGCAGAAACCTTCCATGTGTCTCCAAAGGGTGGATTGGGGGACTAGTGGCTTGGCCTGCACAAATGCCTAGGGGGTTGTCAGGACCGTCTGATTTCAGGCACTGCTCTTTGGGAGGGAGGGAACGGGGACAGCTCCGTCGTCTGTACCCTACCGGGGTCTCCACCCCAAGGCTACAGCAAAGGAGGGGGAGTACTTCATCCTGCTCTCTCATCTGTGTCCCCTCCCCCTACCTCCTCCAGTTATGTCCACAGCCCAGTGGGAACCTTGGCCACAGCTCTGGGTGTGGAACCTTTCTTGCTTGGTCCGGCCATCTGAGGTCCACTCTGTGCTGCTGAGCAAGGGCCCTGTGCCACCTGCCCAGACTCTCAGGCCTTGCCCTCCCAGGCTGTTTGATTTGGTCATGAGGCCTCTGTGAACCCTCCCCAACTCTTGACTGCCTGTTGGACATACCAGCCCGGCCAGCAGCTTCTTCACCTGTGGGCTAGGGAGTGTGACTGGTTCTTTTCATTTTGAATTTTGGAAAATGAAAAGAATTAGTGATTGACATTTATAAACTGTGATAGGTTTTCTGTGCCAACTGAGCTTCTGTAGGAACATGTGGGCGGAGTTTAGCCTGTCAATCAGGTTGCAGCTTGATTGGAGGACAACTGAGATAAATGGCTTTCAAGGCTGGCCTCCCTCTCTTTTTCTCCCTGGAGGCAGGCCATACGTCTCTCTCTCTTTTCATCTTCCTGTTGGCAAGCCACCTGAAACCACGCTGAGACCTGCGAGAGCCCTGGAGATGCTTCTGGTCTGCCACGGGATCCACAAGACTTTGCACCCACTGGCCTATGATCTTCCTGTATTTTGCATGTGCTGCATGAGTCTGAAGAGAGACTTATGGACTAGTATCGGACTAATGGGTTAATATTGGACTTATGGACTTGATCAGGACTGGGGTGGGATGTTTTCTTAATATACAATTACTCTTTGATATAAAGCTCTTATACATATGAGTGTCTGTGAATTTGCTTCTCTAGTTAATCCAGCCTAACACATAAACAAAGATATAAACTCTTATAGCATCATCTTCATTGCTTCTTACCACACAAACTTTGAAAGAACCAGAGATGCTTTCTAGAAAGTTTGCCACCCCCATTCTGTTCCTGTTGTAGAGATGGCATCTGTGAGTATTGGGGTAGGCAAGAACGTTATTTAACTAAAGGAAACCAGAAGCCAAAACTTAACTGCACAGTAACAATGTGCTTTTCTTCATGCTGTCTTGTGTTTCCTGCATATTCAAGTTTCTAATATGCATTAAAATACCTAAGCTAATATGCTAATGATTTTACACTAGGGGAAAAAATTTTTTTAGGAAGAACATGATCTGGGAAGAGAAGGGAGAACCTTATCACAATGAAAACAGATACATTTGTACACTGATACAGATAAGAGCCCACAACACAGGGAATCCAGGACAGATAAACCCCTCAGGACCAATGAGAATAGAGATACCAGGAGGGTTGGGGGATAAAGGGGAAATCTATCACAAGGATTGACATATAACCCCCTCCTAGAGGGATGAAAAACAAAAGTGGGTGAAGGGAGACAGCAGACGATGTAAGATATGAAAATAATAATTTATCAAGGGTTCATGAGGGAGGGTGGGGGATGAAGGGAAAAATGAGCTGATATCAAGGGCTCAAGTAGAAAATGCTTTGAAAATGATGACAACATATGTATAAATGCTTGACACAATGGGTGAATGTATGGATTGTGATGAGAGCTGTAAGTGCCCCCAATAAAAGTATTTAATAAAAATATAGATACATTTGTACCAACTGTGTAATAACCCATTGAAATTTTCAGAAATACACTTCTCAAAGTTTCCCATTCATTTATGGGAAAGTTCTTCTGTGACATTAGTGAGGGAAACCAGTGTGGTTCTATAAAAAGAGTCGGCACGATATACATCTTGAAAGGATCTTTTTGAGGAAGAATCGGATCTATACTATTCCTCTTCAGTTTGTCAATCAAGCATAGTAAATCGTGATTTTTTAAAATTCAAAATAGCCAATACCAGCCCATCTTAGCTCATTAATGACTAGCATATTGATATTTATGTGCTTCATTTCATGTTTTACAACTTAACAGTTTTCACAGATTCATATTTTGTACACCCCAATTAATGATTAATGTTTGCCTTTCTTCCTTCTTATTTGGCATCCATTCCCATAAGCAAATGAAAGCTTTGCTCCACCTGTGTCTTTAAGGCTGATTCTAATTTGGCAGCTCTCTCCCCGTCATATTTTGAATGCCTTCCAACCTGAAGGGCTTATCTTCTGGTATTATATCAGACAGTATTCCATTGCTATTCATCAAGTTTCCGTTGCTATTCCCTGGGAAGTGGACAGCCTAATCCTTCCTCCTACTCTGTTCTTATTCTAGAAACTCCACCGTGACTCGAGTCACTCCAGAGTCCCTGCTGGTATTTGAAATATTGGCAGCATAGGCTCCAGCATCACAGCAACACACCAGCTACTACAATACAACAATCTGGCAGGTTAGTGGGGTTGCGCCTATTAGAATTGCTAAAATGCAAAACGACACCACCAAATGCTGACACGGATGTTGAGCAACAGGAATTCTTATTCACTGCTGAGGGAAATTTTTAAAACGTCAAAACTTATCACATGTGTGCAGCTAATGAGGTATAGCTGAAGGATCTTGTTTTTAGCGATTACGCCAAAGTATAAGCAGTAACTAAATAAGTTGAACACTAAAAAAATTCAAAATTTTGTGTACCTCAAAAAGAACATTATGAAGAAAATGAAAAACAGCCTACAGAATAAGAGAACATATTTGGAAGCCACAGAAAAGGCTCAAAAGTAAAAATATATAAAAGACATTCGAAATTCTACTACAAAAATAAACAACCTAATTGCTTGACTTAGGTGCTCAGTACCTCCCTTGTAGGACCCACTGTGACCCTGGCCCCAGTAGATGCTGTCCTTCCTAGCTGCCCCACCCTCCCAGACACTCTGTTCTCCCTGTCTACTCCAAATGACCTCTCTGTCCTCCAGCCTCAAGACCTGCCAGACACAGCAGACAGTGGTGGGCTGGGCTGGGCTTCAGCAACCCTGGAGCAGGATGAAGGTGAACCTTGTGCCTGGAGAAGCAGTCTGAATTTAGTGGGCTGTCATAGCCCTTATACACTTTGCCTTCCAAAGTCAAAGCCAAGCTATCCATTATCCCTGGACCCTGCTCCTTCTCTGGCTAGCCACCACTTACTCAGAGGAACTTTCTCCTGAGTTCTATCCATTATCCCTGGACCCTGCTCCTTCTCTGGCTAGCCACCACTTACTCAGAGGAACTTTCTCCTGAGTTCCATTCTCCTCCCTCCATTTTTCCCTGGCAGAACCCCAAGGCTGCCCAGGGCGAGGTTGTTCTTTGAGAAAGGACATCATCTTATCTCCCTGACAAATGCTTAGAGTCCTTCCATGGACCACTAGCAGCTGGAAGGTTGATGGATGGAGACATGTGGGCAGGGCAATGTGTGCTGTTAGGTAAAAAACATTACAGCTCTCAGTAAATGGGAACCAGGGTATGGGGCTGGAAAACACATGGGTGTGAAAAAGGGGCAGGTTCCCCAGCTCCCTGGAAGGGTCTTTGGCCTAAGTTGTGTCACTCAGGTTGGAGCTTTCCTGACAATGTAGTGAGTTTGCAGTGATACCCCAATGGGGTTACAGTTTACATTTTCCCATAACTAATGATGCTAAAGGATTTCCATGTGAGCCAGTGGATTATGAGTTGGGCTACTCACTGCAAAGTGGACAGTTCAAATCCACTAGCGGCGCCATGGGAGAGAAAGCTGTCTGATCCTGAACACTCTCAAGAAGCAGTTCTGTTGTGTTCTATAGGGTTGCTGTGCGGATATCAACTTGATGGCAGTGAGTACTAATGCTGAGAACATCATTGGTTCTGTACTTATCTGTCATTGTGAGGTGTCTGTTTTGTAAGATATTTACGCAGTTTGACAGGATTTTAGGTGGTTCTTGAGTAGGACATATCTTTAGTCTCAATAAGGTTTTTTTTTTGTCATATAGATATTTTCTGAGTATTTCTTCCCTTTAACACATCCAAAGGAGCCTATGTTGCCCTGTCCAGTATTAGGGGGATTGCTAACTGGCGGTTCAAACCCACCAACCTCACCTAGGGAGAAAGATGAGCTGTCTGCTCCTAGAAAGATTTATAAGCCTACGTAGGGTTGCTATGAGTTGCAATTGACTCGATGGCACTGGCTTTAGTTAGGTGACATGTCCATTTGTATTTTCAATGGTATCTTTGCATAAACATAAAATTTTAACTTTGTTGAAGTCCAGTGGGTCGATCATCAGTCTTGCTGATGCTCCTTTTTGTGCCTTAACTAGAAAAACAATGCCTACTCAAACTTCACGTAGCCCTGGTTGGACAATGCTAAAAGTAAAGGTCACTATTGTTTTAAACCTTCCTGCTGCTCCTTGAACAAAAAAGACCTGGCCATCTGTTCTCAGAAAGATTTCAAAGCCTATGAGATAGTACTCTAGAACAATCCATACTGAAGATTGTATGTCTTTAAACTTCAGAAGTGCTTCAAAATTTCCTTCTTGATTCTCTATATAACCACACTCAGTACCAAATGCCTTAGGCTGAGTACTATAGAGAAGTAAAACTAGTGAAGCTTATTGTATGTGTGTGTATGTAATGCATATATATATGTATATATAAACTTATATTAAGGAAATGGCTTACACAATTGTAGAAGCAGGCAAGTTTTATGTTCATGTAAGTTCCAAGTCCATAACCCAAATATTATGCTGGAAGATTATCCTGACTTGCATAGTGTGAGGATTGATGAACCCAAATCTACAGAAGACAAAAGGCTTTTGGCTGCAGATGTGAATTAATCCAAGGTCAGCCGTTATTCCTGGGCTAGGCAGGCATTACAGCAGGCTGCTGGCTCAAGTCCAAAGAACCAGAAGTCAGAGGATGCATCAGGCCCAATAAAAGCAAGCAAGCTTTCCAACCAGAAATAGACGGGAGAGCCCCTGAAACAGGACACAGTGGCTGTGCAGCAATTAACATCTAAGCTTACCTCCTGTATTAGTCTTGGTAGACTAGAGAAACAAATCCACAGAAACTATATATATAT